CTTGCTCAGGCTGGTCTCGAACTCCTGAGCTCAAACAATCCGCCCGCCTCAGCCTCCCAGAGAGCTAGGATTACAGGCGTGAGCCACCGCGGCCGGCCAATTCCCAAATTTAAATCGCTCATCTGGTTCTTTTCTCTGAGGTCCAGACTTAAATATCTAACTATCTGCTACCAGGTTCAGATCAATGTCGGTTAAGCACCTCAAACTGAACTCATCCTAAACTGAGCTCCTAATCCTCAGACAAACCTCCCCCATCCTCAGCCTTCCTCGCCTTCATTGACGGCAACTGCATTATTCCTGTTGTTGAGTCCAAAAACCTTGGTGTCATTCTTAACTCCTCTCTTTCTCTTATACCCTGTATCTAACCCACCAGTAAAGCCTATTGATGTTAGCCTCATAATATGCATAGAATCCAACCACTTCTCACTACTGTCACCACTATCTTCCTGGACAAGCCACGATCATCTCTCTTGCCACTCCTGATTGGTCTCCACAATTCTGCCTATAGCCCCCTTGAGTCTATTCTCAAAAGAGCAACAAACACAACACTTTAAAAATGTTGAGTCACTTTATCTACTCCCCTAATCAAAATTCTCAGTGGCTTCAACCTCTCTGAGTAAAAGTCAAAGTCTTTGCAATGCCCTTCAGGGGCTACTGTGACCTGGATTCTCATCTGTCTCTGACCTTATCTCCTGTTACTATCTGTGCTGCTTTCGGGGTTCAAGACACACAAGCCTCAGGTTATCTATGTCCACAATTATATCATCTGTCACAGGGACACCTGTGTTTCTTTCTCTCCAAGCTTATACTTTTTAAATACTGTTCTTACCTTTCTAGGCTAATTTGGCCCTCCAATACAATGATGAATATAAGTGATAGTAGCATGCTTCTTTGTCTTGTTCCTGATTACAAACAAAAGCTTTTAATGTGTTACTATAAAATCTGATTGAATATTTGTTTTAGGATTTTTCCCCTCTAGATACTCCATTCTTGGCTTACTAAGGTGCTTTTATAAAAACCGTGAATGAATATTGAGTTCTTTCAGATTTTTTTTCTGCACCTATTAAGATGATCATGGGATTCTTTTTTTCTCCTGTAATCTTTAATATTGCTGTACTGGATTAACTTTCTAATGCTAAACCATTATGGAATCCTGGTATAAATCCAATAAGGTTATAATATAATATTCTTTTCTTTTTATATATTGGTAGATTTAGTTGGCTCATAGTTTCTTTAGGATTTTTGCACCAACGTTCTAAGGGTTGTTAAACTTTTTGATTAATGATTTAATGATTTGCTTTTGGTATGATATTTTTCATTACTAAAAGATCCATTTCATATTTTAATAGGTCACTTTTTATAGTTTTTTATAATAATTCCCTGCACATATTGTCAAGTTGCCTTTTATTTTGTGAGACACAGTAAATACAATCTTTTTAAAAAAACTTCTTTCTTGTAATTCCAGCAGGTGATTTTTTTGGTCTGTTTTTCCTGTGTATTAATATCTTTACTGAGCTATCTCAGTCGTGGAGCTTTGTTTCCTTTTATGTTCGTTACTTTTTACTATATATATGTCATTACCTTTGAAAAAAATTTGGGAGCATTTTTGAGGCCTACGATAATGCTCTGGTGAGGATCTGCATCTGCTTTTCCCAGTTGCCTGAGGAACTCCCAGAAACAATCTCAGCCTGAGATTCACTGCACCACCCAGACAATGCAAATCAGGGCTGCAAATCTTACTGAGGCCTTCCAAGGGCCACAGCCTCTCAGACATGTTTTTTCTCTTCTTCTTTTTTCCCTACTCACTTAACAAGACAACTTTGCTGCATTCCTCGTAGATATATGTGAGAGTGTGTATGGATTTACTTCCGGTTCATCCTTATCCTAAGTACCCTCTGGGGTTCTGGCTCGTGGTGGGGCACTCCGTCTATCCTGCTCACCACCTCAGGTGCACTCAGGGTCGTATCTCTTCATTAATCCACCAGGCTCAAAGCCTAAATTGGCAGGAATTTGTAATTCCCTTCAGGGCAGAAGGATTTGGGACTTCTGTGTCCCATTTACGTCTCCAAGTTCCTCTTTTCCCTTAGATTTTGGCCTGGTTGTTTCTATTTTCTTTTCAGGTTTTCAATTTAAAAAATAATTTCTCTAACTATTTTAGTTATTCTCAGCAGCAAAGTTATGCCACAACTGGAAGTAGAAGTCCCCTAGACACTGCCTTCTATGGATAATGCTCACTGTGTCATTACTGTCTAGGTGCCCTGCGTATAACTCTTAACTTCACCTGCTTCCCCCCATTTCACATCCAATCCTTCACCAACTCCCACTAATCCAGTCATAATCAGCCACTGTTCTCTCCATACCTGTGGCCACTTTTCTAATCCAGAGCCTCATCATCTCTCCCAAACTTTTAAACAGCCTATAAGCATATCACTTTGCCCCAAATCTCACATTTTTCAATACATCCCCCATATTATTCTTCTAAAATACAAATATAATTAGGTTAATAATCAATCTTTTGATAACATGAAGAAATTCTTTAGCTTGACTCAAATGGGAAACTGGGTTCAGTTTACCTTCATGGTGTCATTGTCAATGAGTCACCCTAGGAAGCATATTTTAACTA